CTACAAGAATGTACTTCATCCCATGAGAACTCACGAAAGGGCCCATAAAGTCAATACCCCACACGTCAAATAACTCAATCACAAGAATGGATTTAGAGGGAGCTCTTGCTTTCTTGAAATACCACCATCTCGTTGACATTTGTCACATGCTTTAGCAAACCCATGAGCATCTTGATGAAGATTTGGCCAATAGTAACCACATTGAAATATCTTGTGAGCGGTTCGGATACCACTGTGATGTCCGCCAACAGGTGAAGAATGGCATGCCTCCAACACACTCAACATTTCACATTCTGGCACACAACGCCGAATAAGCCCGTCGGCACAACTCCTATACAAATATGATTCATCCCAAAAGAACTTCTTCACATCGTACATGAACTTTTTCCTTTGATGAAAGAACAAGTCTGATGGAACAATATCACTAGCCAGATAGTTCGCAAAATCTGCGAACCATGGAATCAAGTCTTGTGAAGCAGCCAATACATGTTCATCGGGGAAAGTATCATTAATGTCAGTCTTATCCCCTAATTCTCTCATAGCTTCATCCTCTAGACGAGACAAATGATCAGCAACTTGATTTTCAGTCCCTTTTCTATCCAGCACTTCAAAGTCAAATTCTTGCAACAGTAATACCCAACGAATCAGCCTTGGTTTCGCATCCTTTTTTGCCATAAAATATCTCAATGCTGAATGATCAGTATGCACTATAACTCTAGTACCTAGCAAATAGGAGCGAAATTTCTCAAAAGCAAAGACTACTGCGAGGATTTCTTGCTCAGTCACTGTGTAGTTCTTCTGGGCTTCATTTAGGGCTTTACTAGCATAGTAAATTGGGTGAAGGATTTTGTTTCTTCTCTGTCCTAATACTACACCACGAGCCACCCCACTGGCATCGCACATTACCTCAAATGGACTGTTCCAATCCGGAGAAATAATGATAGGCGCAGACACTAACTTCTCTTTTAACTCACCGAATGCTTTAAGACAGGATTAATCAAAACAAAATTTACATTCTTTCTCCAGCAATTTGCACAATAGGTGTGCAATCTTTGAAAAGTCTTTGATGAATCTCCGATAAAAACCTGCATCCCAAAGAAAGCTTCTCACACCTTTCACGGAGATCGGCGGGGGAAGTCTCTCTATTACCTCAACTTTAGCTCGATCAACCTCTATGCCTTTTTCTGAAATGCGATGACCCAACACAATACCCTCTTTCACCATGAAATGACACTTTTCCCAGTTTTGTACCAAATTGCAGTCTTCACATCTCTTAAGAACCTCAGATAAATTGGTCAAGCACCACTCGAATGAATCACCAACCACAGAAAAATCATCCATAAAAACCTCTATAGTATCCTCCACCATGTCAGAAAATATTGACATCATACATCTCTGAAAGGTTGCGGGTGCATTGCACAACCCAAACGGCATTCTTTTGAACGCAAAAGTCACATATGGACAAGTGAAAGTGGTTTTCTCTTGATTTTCTGGTGCAATAGAAATCTTATTATACCCCGAATACCCATCAAGAAAACAATACCACCC